GCCTCAGGTTGTGCTGGGGGGTTCAGGTTAGATGTTAGGAAGAATTTCTACATGGAAAGAGTAGTCGAGCATCGGAACAGGCTGCCCAGGGAGGTGGTGGAGTCCCCGTCCCTGGCAGGGTTGAAGAAAGGTGTGGGTGAGGCACTTAGGGACATGGGTTAGCAGGGTGGTGTGGAAGGGTTTACAGCTGGACTCGATGATCTTAAAGGTCTTTTCCAACCATACAGATTCTGTGAGAACTGCCAGGGAGGAACAAAAAAACTCTTTGTGCGTTTGCTTGGGTGGCTTTAGCCAAGTCGTGCACCACACGGGTGTTGCTGTCAAGCAACCCAAGGAAAGGGCTTAACAGCTACCTGACTTTTTAAGCCTCTTAGGAGCCCCTGTGTGTGCCAGAGCTCCAGAGCATCTGTGAGGTGTGCAGTCTGTGCACTGCCTGCACCCAGACCCACGGAGAACCTTTTTCTCCTCCCCAGTTGTCCCATTTGGTCACAGCTGCCGTTTGTGCTCCGCAGGGCTCCCCCGTGCGCCCGGGACACAGCTTCCTGCGGGACGGAGCGTCCTTGGGCATGTTCAGGGAGCTGATGGTGGTGATCCGCATCTGGGGACTGCTGAAGCCGAGCTGCCTGCCTGTCTACACAGCCACCTCCGACACCCAGGACAGCATGTCCCTCCTCTTCAGGCTTCTCACTAAGCTCTGGCTCTGCTGTAAGGGCTTACCCCTCTCCTCGAACAAAAGGATCCTTCCTTAACGTGGCTTGTGCATGAAAGGAATAATTGCGGGGAGTAACTTTTGAGTGGGTCTGTAGCATTTGGAAAGGGCACGCACAGCTGCCAAGTTTATTGTTTTCCGCAGTGTGTTGGCGGATGGGGGAGGAAGCTGCACGCAGCAGCTTCTCTCAGTCTTCAGATGGGAAATGTTAGAGCTCCCTCTGCTTCATTTTCCATGCAGGTCGTGAGGAAAATCACATGACAGAGCCGGATGATGCCCTGATAGATGAATGTTGCCTGCTGCCCAGCCAGTTGCTCATTCCCAATATCGACTGGTTGCCCATCAATGATGGCATTATCACCAAGTTACAGAGCAAACAGCTTGTCCGGCTGCAGTTTGGAAAAGCTCCTGGGCTTGTTGGCCACACTGTCTCTTCCCAGTTCGATGCCTTTGTAAGGTACAGAGAGGGTCTTTTTCCAGCCCTGAGAGATCAGTGAGTTTGGGATGCCTCAATTCTTTGGCTTATCTGTTGGTAAATGTGACTTGAGGGAGATTTCTTCTCCCTTCTCTGTATTTGACAAAAAAAGGTTGTGTTTAGATCAATTTCACCATATGCTTATATTCCATGACACACTGTGTAGTAAAGTGTGGGATACATTTCATCCTACTGAAATGCAGCTGCTGGTGTAGACTGTTGCAGCCTCCCTAGTCAGAACTGCAGTGTGTGTCTTCACAGGAACAGTAGGAAATCAGGACATCAGGTTGAAACTATAAGAGAGTTTTGACAAACTCAGATTTACCTGGATCTGGCTTAGGAAGCTTTCTGGGAATTCTCATAGGAGAAGCAAAAGGGGTTGCAGGAGTGCAGAACAGGGCAAGTCCAAGGCTTTGGGTCCAGCCTTTCTGGGAGCAAGGAGGGAATGATTCTCCAAGAGTGATTAGCTCTGGGGTCAGCGCAAAGGCTTTGCTGTTTGGGTTTCCGTTTGGGTTTTGATGGATGGAATCTCAGATACTCTCAGGAAAAGGCTGTCCTGGAAACAGCTTTTAGGAACAGTCTTTATGAAAAGCTGCCGTTCTTCTTCCTACCCAGGGCACCTGGGCAGCCCAAGATCGATCACCTGAGACGGCTTCACCTGGGAGCCTACCCGACAGAAGAGTGCAAGTCGTGTACGAGGTAAGCAGTGCAAACACAAAATCCCTTCGATGCAGAGCAAATCTTGGCAGAAACTCAAACCCTTCTTTCTGATATTTAAAACTCTCTTTCAGCCTTTGTTTACCACCCTAACACAGCTCTGTAACCTCTCTACATCTGCAGGAGGAAATGCTTCTCTGTAATAAGGCTTTTAGTTTATGGCACTGTGATTGCACAGGAGGAAAGCAGGTTGGAGTGTGATTAAGGTATCTTAGGGTAAGAACCAGGGTTGTTAAAAGGCTTCTGGAAGAGCAATATCCCTGACTGGAGAGAGCTGCTGCTGTCACTGCAGCACGGCTCTTGCAGTAAGAATCTTGTTGCCTTGTCCTGCAAAGTATCCCAAGTTCTGTGTCAAGGAATAAATCTGACATTGCTTTAACAGAAAAATAAGAGAATATCCACATAGGTAAATGGAGAATGGATTTTGGCATGTAGAAGTCCTCATTGGTAATGAGAGATCCCCAGCTTTGATTTGCAGGCCAGCTAAGCTAGCTGGGTTCTTGGAGAGGAGATGGCAAGAGGAAACGACCAGGATCCGCAGTGCCATTTGGGGGTCATTTTTCCAGCTCGGTTTATAGGTCCTTTTAGGTCCCCATCCACCCTTCACAGCAGAGTCTGGATTCTGAAATGATGGTGCCGGGAACAAACATCTATCTAAGCATATGATCGAATTAGCTTTAATTATTGGTTTTAATAGAAAGTCTCTGTAACAGATCATTTTTACAGGATGGGCGTCTGCTGTTTTATGTATAAATAGCAGCTGGGGGCTGTTGTCTTCAAGACAGCCTTCTGTTCCGAGATAACCCCTCTTCATTTCAGATAATTGCTCTCGTGGTCTCAGCTGGTTGTTACTGCTCACAGACATTACCTGTGAAGGGCAAAGGCTGTATTTTTCTCCTGGGTGCTGGTTCCCTGTGTGACTCACACCGGAGTCCCAGCAGCGCTGGGTTTTTCCTGGCTCACCCCGTTGCGTGTGCTGCCTTTCAGGTGCGGCTGCGTTACCATGCTGAAGTCACCGAACAAAGTGACTGCAGTGAAGCAGTGGGAGCAGCGCTGGGTCAAGAACTGCCTGTGCGGGGGCCTGTGGAGGAGGATGCCCCTCAGCTGCTCGTGAGAGCCGCTTCTGTGGGGCAGGAAGGCAACAGCGGGCACCAAGTGGAGGAGCTGCTTGGAGCTGGCACCTGTGGAGGGGGTTGGCATGAACGAATCCCAGCACTTTTCCTTCCTGCGGGCTCTGCAAGCGTCGTCCTGGTGCTGCCTGCGAGTTGCCTCGCGCTGCTGTGTTTTTCTGGCATTGATTTTTCTGCTTTGCCCCTTTGTGCCATAAAAACAGAGCGGGGGGAATGTATCCTTGTACGCGGAAGAGCTCAAGAGGAAGCTGAGAGGTTTCCCTGTCCAAGGCAAACTGGGAGCCAAGGGCTGGGGAGACGAGAAACCTGCTGCCTCCCTGAGCCCTGGAGCGGCTGCACCTGGGATAATCCCTACGGGATAGAGAGCGGTCACAGGGGATAACGCAGGCAAAAGCTCTGGGAAAGGGCGGTAAATACATAACACCTTATGTTCATTCTCTGCTACCACGCTGCTTGGGAAGTGCGGGATGGGCTGGTTGATCCCCGTTTCCTCATCTCCATCCTGGCAAGCGAACTTGCTGCTCTGATGGGAAGCTTCGCCTCCACAGCGTATCCCTGTTCTAGCTAATGGAACAATTTCCTCCCAGGCTGGAAGAGCAGGAGCCTGTTGCCCTGGAGCGACTCTCTGTTCCCTTGCCTCTCACTGGAGCAGTAGCTATTTTGTAAATAAAGGTTCCCTTAATTTTGTAAAGAATGTTCAGAATGTCTGTTTTGTTCTCAGAGAAGCTTCCTCTTTCTCTTACGACTTTGCTTGGTCAGTGGATGCATGAGCGAAAGCGAAGCAGAAAAGCTCTTTTAATTTCCTTTCTGCAAAATCAGACCAAGAAATCTGTGCCCTTTGCCAAAGGCCAGGGAAGCTGCTTCGTGCTGGGCTGTGGCTTGGCCAGATTCCTCCTGCACTCGTTAACTTCCAGCTCTCCCCAGAGGCCACTTAAAGGAGAGAACAAGCCCAATTTTACATATACTTTTCCATGTGGGAATCAGTTTCCACTTATCAGTTAAAAATTGCGCTGATGTCAAAGAGCTTGTTTTTCTTGATTCCTCCATTTAATGTTTTGCTCCGTGGCGCAGGTCTCTGCGTTGCCATTCTGGGGGTAATTAAGGAAAATGAAATGGCTCATTAGGAAACTAGAAATTCTTGTTAAAACTCTTATCCCTTTAAGTAAAACTGTAATCAATCTGGGTCCTGCTTAATCTCCTTCCTCTCCCCAGCAGGCGTGGGGGTGGTTTAATGCTCCGTTACTGCTGCTCTTTGTTTGCATTAAGGCAGGAAGGAGCAGCCGCTCTGCTAGAAAACTGCGTCCCGCGCTGGAGCCGTCCTGCGGCGCCGGAGAGCTCGGGAGCCGGCTGCTCCGTGAGGCCGCTCCGGACGGGACCGCTCCGGCCGGGAGCTGCTGCGCCAGGTCCCTGTGTGCCCGGGTCACTGTGCACCAGGTTCTTGTGCGCTGGGTCCCCGTGCACCGAGGTCTCGTGTGTGTGACAAAGTCCCCTGTGTGTCTGAGAGCACGGGGGGGCACAGAGGGTCTCCTGTCCCCACACGGGGACCGCAGGCTGCAGGACGTGGACAGGGTCCCCCCGAGGGCCCTTTTTCCAGCGGTGCTGCTGCAGCCGCTCCGAGGGGCAGGGCGAGAGCTGCGGGGGCTGCGGGGGCTGCGGGGGCTGGGGGCTGCGGAGGGGCGCAGCATCCTCAGCGCAGCGGGGACAGGCTGGGGAGGGGGCGCAGGGCGGGATGGGTCCCCGTGCCCTCCCTGCAGGATCAGCCCTCCCTGCTCCTGTGGATCCAGCGCTGGGGGACACGCAGGAGCATCCAGCTCCATCCTTGTGCAGCAGCCCCTGCTCCGTCCTCCCCTTTTGCTCCATCCCCTCCGTGTCCCCCTTTCTCCAGACCCTCCCATCCCCTCTGCTCTCTCCATCCCCACCCGTGGCGTCTCAGCAATTGTGATTTTATTGCAGGCGTGGAGGGCGCAGGGACAGGGACACAGAGCGGGGACAAGGGGCGGCTCAGGGGGTGTCCTCCTGCCCGGACAGGGCGCCCATGACGCGGTCGATCCAGGCGGCGTAGGGCGCGATGCGGGTGTAGATGCCGGGTTTCTTGTAGTTGCCGCAGACGCGGGAGCCGGCGGTGACCACGGCCTCGGCCACCCCGTTGCAGACCAGGGGGCCGCCGGAGTCGCCCTGCGGAGCGAGGGGCTGTTGGGGGCTCCGCGCGGCCCCGTGCGCGCGAGGCCGGGGGCTGCGGGCCGGGGGGTACCTTGCAGGTGTCCCTCTTGCGGGAGTCGGTGCACATCATGTTGGGGGTGATGGAGTGGTCGTGGCGCGTGCGGTGGTTGCACTCGTCGCGGCTCAGCACCGGCCGCTCCACCTGCTGCAGCCGGTCGGGCCGGCGGCCGCTGTGGGTCACGGTGCCCCAGCCGGCCACCTCGCACACGGTGCCGGCCGCCACGTCCCGCTGCTCCCGCTGGAAGGGCAGCACCTGCACGTGCTCGTTCAGCTCCGCTTTCTCCTCCAGCTGTGGGCAGTGAGGCAGGGCTGGGCTCAGCAGTGGCTCCCGAGCCGCTCCGGGCTGCAGGGGCAGGGGAGCAGGGGGGGAATGGGGACAAGGGGGGTCCGGTGCCCACCTGGAGCAGGAGCAGGTCGTCCTCATTGTTGTACACATTGCTGCCGGGGTGCGGGATCTGCGCCCGCACACGGTACAGCCGCTTGTGCGGCTCCGGCTCCGTGAGCGAGTGGGCGCCCAGCAGCACCTGGAACAACTTCCCATCCCTGCAGGGGAGGCAGCAGCTCGACCCGAGCCCCCCTGGGAGCCCCAGAGCCCCCGGGCGCCCCAGCGGGCACGGGGTGCCCATCCCCTGGCCCCGGCACTCACGTCTCCTCGGTGCAGTGCGCGGCGCTCAGCACCCACTGCTCGGCGATGAGGAAGCCGCCGCAGATGTGCTCCCCGTCGAGCTGCAGCGAGGCCATGTGCGGCCGCAGGTGCGGCCGGGCCTCGCGGCCCCCCAGGATGCGCCCGCGGGGCTGAGCTGCATTGGGGACACCTCAGCCCCGGCATCCCAGCACCGCAATCCTGGCCCTGACCCCGCAATGCCGGCCCTGGCTGCGCAATCCCGGGTGCCTCCAGCTGCCCTTTGCCCAGGGGGGCACCCGGGCCACCCCCCACCCCGGGGTGCCGCTCACCCCCGGCCGCACTCACCGCTCGCCGCGGCCGCCAGCAGCAGCAGCAGCAGCGCCAGGTCGGGGCGGGCGGCGGGACGGGGCGCCATGGGGATGGGAGCTGCCGGGCCGGGCGGCTGCTCCTCGGCCGCAGCCGCTTTTATGCCCCGCTCGGGGCGGGAGGAGGCGCCGGGGGCAGCAGGGGGGTTTCCGCAGCGCAGGGGGTGACCCCGGCTCTTGTGAAACACTTGGCTTGGAGACGGGGTCAGGAGTTCCCGGCACAAACAAACGGGCCGGAAAGGGCCGTTCCCGCGGCCGCGGCCCGGCCGGGGGTCCCGCTGGGTCGGGGGCGAAGCCGGGGGCTCCTCGCAGGGCCCTGGGCGCCGTCCCGGCCGCGGGGCCCGGCGGCACCGGCGGCACCGGCGGCACCGGCGGCACCGGCGGCCGTGGCCGAGGGTCCCCCCTGCCTTTCCCGGCGGTGCCGCTAAGCGGAGCCACCGCCCCGGCTCCGCAGAGCCGCTGGCGCCGCCCCCCCATCCCGGGGACTGCAGGGTCAAGTGCGTGTCCGCTCCCATCCTGTCACCCTCCTCCTTCCCGGACGTCCCCAAACTTCCCCAGCGAAACCGGGCGGTTGCGAAACGCGGCGGGGGCGGCCGGGGACAGGGCAGCTTCCCCGGGACACCGGCACGGGCTGGGGGGCCGGGGGCCGCGCGGCTGCCGCCCTCCATCCGGGCACTGGGGGCCTTGGCCCTGCCGCGCGTCCCTCCGCACCCCTGGCCCAGCTGCAGCGGCCACTGCAGCCGCAGGAGCAGCCGCACATGGTGCTGCGGTGCAGGCGGTGCTGCGGGCGCAGGGGTAGGTGCAGGGGCAGGTAAAGGTATGGGTAAAGGGGCAGGTAAAGGGGCAGGTGCCCCGCGGGCAGGAGAGCGTTAAGGGGCAGCAGCGGCTGGCGCTTGGCTGCTCCACGGATTTCTGCACTTTCGGGTGGCAGAGCCACACGGAGAGCTCCTTAATCTGGGATTTCAGCGATTTGGGATTTAAACGTTAAATACGTAGGGAGCTTTGTGCCCACTTAGGGCGCGGGGTGGAATGAGGGCAGCGCGCCCTGCCATGCCATGCACTGTGCTTTGCTGCAGCACGCTGGGGCACACCGTGCCATGGAGGGGGCACCCAGAGCCACCCAGGGGCTCCGCGGTACTCAGGGCTGCTCCGGGTGCCTGGTGGGAGCACAGGGAGCCACCAGGATGCAGCTGGAGCCCCAAGAAACCTGGGGGGACTGAGGAAATGGGGCTGGTCTCCAACCCCGGCGGCTTTGGGGTCTCACCGCAGGCCGGGCCCCGGTGCAGCTCGGGGCATGGGGGGAGCAGGGCCCGGTGCTGCCGCCTGCGCTGCAGCGGTTGCAGGGGCTGCGGCGGTGCAGGGTTGCTGCGGGACACCCGGCGGGAACGCCCCGTTGCTAGGGAACAGGCGCCGATTTCGCCATGCGAGTCACGCGCCGGATTCCCGTGTTCCCGGGGCCTGCAGCGGTGCCTGCGCCGGGCGCCAGAGCCCAGTGGGACCCTGCGCCAGCAGCGGGACCCCGACCCAGGACCCGCTCCCGGAGCCCTGCCGGGCCCAGAGGGTCTCGGTGCGGGTGGCAGATGGGTCCCCGCATGGAAGAGCCCAGTGGGGAGACACCAGGTGCCCGCAGCGCCCCAGCGGGATGGAGCCCCGCACTGGAGCTGGGAACGGGGCTGGGGCAGCGCCCTCGGCGCTGGTGCTGAGCCCAGCGAGGCCGGGGTGGCCCTGAGGGTGTCCAGCAGCAATTGTGGGTGCAGGGGGACCCTTGGCGGGTGCAGATCGGCCCTTGTCACACACAGAGCTGCCTCCGTGGGTGCGGAGCCGCCGTTTGCAGACGCGGAGCCGCCGTTTGCAGACGCGGAGCCCCCGTTTGCAGACGCGGAGCCGCCGTTTGCAGACGCGGAGCCCCCGTTTGCAGACGCGGAGCCGCCGCTTGCGGGAGCGGAGCCGCCGTTTGCAGACGCGGGGCCGCCGTTGGCGGGAGCTGAGGGGCCGTTTGCGGGCGCGGAGCCGCCGTTTGCAGACGCGGAGCCGCCGTTGGCGGGCGCGGAGCCCCCGTTTGCGGGCGCGGAGCCCCCGTTTGCAGACGCGGAGCCGCCGTTGGCGGGAGCTGAGGGGCCGTTTGCAGACGCGGAGCCGCCGTTTGCGGGCGCGGAGCCGCCGTTTGCAGACGCGGAGCCGCCGTTGGCGGGCGCGGAGCCGCCGTTTGCAG